AAAAAATAGGTGCCAAAAGGAACAAGAAAGCTGTTGAGCGAGCATTTGTGGTATTATCGGAATAGTTCAACTCAACATCGAAATAGTCCAAATGTTAGATAAAACTCCAACACTCTGTCGTCTCTTGATGCTCCATTCATCTGGCAATTAAAGGATGCGCAAGAAAGAAGACTAGGAAAGCGGTTGCCAAAAAAGAATGGAGTAATTTTGCACGTCGGGCAGTTTTTCAAGGAAGGCAGAAGTTCAAAAATGAGAGGAAACATCTTGGTAGTTTGGTCATATGATGGAGTTGCTGCTAACAGTACAAAAAATTAGAGTCGCACCCAAGAGTGTCTTTCCTCTATTTTATCCCTGCTCCCATCACTTTATTCGCTGGACAAATCATGCTTCAACCAAAGCTACTACTTTCCTTCTTCCTCCCGCTCTCCTCTTCCCTACCACCTTCTTACTGTCACAAGCCATGCTTATCATATTTATTTTTACTTTGAAAGAAAGCATTGTCTTGTACACATGTGATGATAGAGATATTTACACTGCAACATTGTGAGAAAAGTATAAAATCTCACCTTCGATACTTCCAATGTGCTATTAAATGGATCCTCGCAGGCTCTATTATTACCATCAAAGGAGCTGCAAACAAAGCAACCGATGCCCACGGCTCCTGCAGAAGTTCGTTATTTAGTAGTTACAGAATGCAGAAATGATATTTATTGGTAAGACCTAACCAATAACATGGTCATTACCAGTTAATGTTCTGAAAAAATAACTCTTTAGGAGCTAAAGCTATGATCCTATAAATGTACTCCCCGTATCCTATATTATATACTAACCGGCAAACTCGGTAATCTAACCGAAACTACGAATTAATGACCGTCATTGACTCGCGGTTAACTCTCAGTTTCATCTGAGTGAGGACCTAACTGCGAGAACTGCTAGTTATGCGAAGCAATTTTGGTTGCAAGTTCATATGAAACCAGCAAGATTGATCCCGCAATTGTTAATCTCTTATGATATTGCCTATACCATTAGCCTATGAT